GGCCACAGGTGGAGCGTCGACTGTGGCCACGATCCCTCGCCTGGAGACCAGGCCTGTAGTGAAGGGCATGCCTGCAGAAGGGAGACGTGTCACATGTGCAGAGTGGATTTGCAGTGACTAATTAAAACTAACAGCTCTGCTTTTCCCTCAGCATCATTTTTATCTGATGGAAAACGTTTCTGACTTCTAGTTTTCTCCTTCAGTGAACAGCAAGTCAAAGACCAGACCTGAAGTTTGAAAACTAACTACCACAGTAAAACCTTCTAAGAGGATTTACAGCGCTTAAATGCATACATACAGTCCAAAGTGCGTGTGTGGACTGAGACATGTTAACAGTATCAAATACTGAGTAAAACTGAGGTCACCTGATGCAGGTAACCACAGTAAAGTGTCAGGTTTCACGTGGCTGACGGGAGATTAAATTTCTGGAAGTTACCCTGGAGGGCATAAGACTCTTTCACAGAAAGTGGGACTCCTAATAAAGGCAGCCGGTCCTCCAGCACTTCCTCTCCTCCAGTCTCCTCCTCAATCAGCTTATCGACCTGAGCCGCCTCCTGGAGGGCAGCCGCAAACCTGGACAGACAGAAATGCAGTTTACGTTTACTGACAAATTTAGAGGGAAAAGGTTTTGACCTGATGCTAGTACAGTATGAAAAAGAGATTCACCAAGCTGATTATAGTGTTCATCATGCAGGGAACATGTGCCTTGCCATGATTTTTGACCATATTTGCAGGGTGGGCTGTCGTTTTATAAGCTATTGATAGCAGGTGCGTCCATTAACTATATGGGTGCATTGTAGAAACCTGCTAATTAGTTAATTAGTAAATCTCCTAACCAGGAGCATAAACTTCTTGAATGGTCCGTTAGCACAATTAGCCATTTAGAAATCCTCATTATTTATGAGATAATTGCATTAAAAAACACGAAGACAATCACCACAGTCGGGAGTAGCGCCTGACAAATGCAAGCTTTTTAAGACCATTTATTTTGTATATTCTGATATGTTGGCTGTTTATTTTCTTTAGGACATATAAAACAAACTTGTTATTACTCGTTATGCTGCACCCAACTCTCCTCAGGTCAGCTGATTATTGTTTCGGTCTTCCAAAATCGCATGTTGCTAAAAGGGACGTTAGAGAATGCCCCTGGTGGAAAAAACATGCAACCTCAGCACTTGTCACATGGATGAAGGGCGTTTCTCCTGTCTTTGTTTAATTTTCCTTTATAATCTTATGTAACAACTGATCCAGATAGACGGACAAATAGCTAATATCAGACGATCATGTTGGCCCATTGACAAATATTGACTCAAGAGGCCCAGTTCAAAGGCTCAAAATAAAATTGTAAAATGTCAAATTACAGCAGTGCAAACTGTGCATTGTATTGTCACTACAATTACATGTTTTCATTTGCTGATAAAACTTCAGCACTTAATTCTTTTTTATATTTTCCTCACACTACCTTTGCACATTTACCCACAGCAAACGTGATGTGACACAACAGATACACATCAGGCACTGCCAAGGGTAAACACCATGTTTTTATCCCAATAGTCTGATGGCATTCTTCAAGGCTGATATATTGATACATCTTCATTTTTGTTTCATTTCTGAGTTGAAGAAAAAAAAAAAGCCTCACATCATCATACCCTGTGCTGGGCCAGGAAAATGTTTATTTCTGTCTTCCTGTCAATAAAATAATCAATGACTGGAGCTCAAGAGCACACTATCAGACATCAGGGAAATAGAGATGATCGTTTCTTGCCTGTCTTTCACAACAGCATTCACAAAAGGGTTAACTTCCTGGATCCTGTCAATGTAAGCCTGCACCACCTCCACGCTGGACACCTGCAGGGACATAACATTTAGACCACGTAAGGACATGTTATGGTTCATTACAGAAATAATGTCACAGAACAGGAAAACAAGTCAAACTGAGGGTGAAACTTGAATATGATTTGTCCTAAAGAAAAAAAAATTAAAAAGGAAATAAGGTTTTGACATCTGTGTCTTTAGGGTGGATTATAAAAGCTGCTTCAGCTTCTCTACAGCTGCAAGCCGCTTTGCAACCCACAGTTCCTCCTTTCAAGTTGTTTCTGCTACGTCTCCTGTCACTGATGCTCTCCCAGAATCACAGACGCTATTAAAAAAAAAGGAGGAAAGCTACAGTGATGTGTCATTGAAGTCTGTAGCTGAGCACTTAACATCAACATGTTTTTTATGAGTGAGCAGTGGATGTGCCAGTGACACTCCACACTTATTGGCTAACAATTTTGATCGACAAGCTGTTAGCATTACCAGGGTAATCCTTTCCTACTCTTACAATAACCATAAACTAAAAAATGGATTTTATGTTTTATTTGTTTTACTGAAACTAGTAACTGAGACCGAAGGAAATTATCAGGAAATAAGGTGTTTACAGAAGTGACCTCTGTAAACATTGTCAGGCCAGAAGTCTTCTGTAATCAGTGGAATCGCCCTCTGCTGGTCATTAGGAAGAATGCAGGTTTAAGGCATTAGCTTCATTTTTCCTGGCCAAAAGTTACATCCATCTTTTATACAGGTTATGTCCAAAACAGGGCCCTACCACCAAACATCAAGCCTTCTGTTTGATATAGTTATCCAGAGTGAATTAGATTACAATAAGATACTGTAATCTAAAAACAAAGGGGCTCTGTACAGGAAAGGTCATTCAGTAACAGCCTGTTTTTTCCCCACCCCTCAGTAGACTTGGTGATTTCAGTGTCAGCTTTTATGCTACTGTGCGGTGGAGCAACTGATGCAAATAGACTCAATGAGCTCATCAGGGATGATGATTCAGTCCTGGATACAGAGGAAAGCACTTAGTAGTGTGGATGATGCCTCTCATCCCCTGCACACCACACTGGAGTCATACTAAAAGTATATATGTGCACGAAAGATGCGCGTTTCTCAAGGTGTGACCAATGAAACTCTGTCACTGTAAAGAGGTTTAAAGACACGTTTAATTCCTGATATCTTAATATAAGACAAAGAAGTGCAAATAACCATACATCTCAGTTTTTCTACATTATAAAGAAATGGTGCTGTAGTAAGCAGTCTTTGGGCTCAAATTATAAGAGATTACTTTAAAATTAAAGACAAGGTTCTAGTAGGTCATTGCCCAGACCATCCTATAATTATAACACTGAAGTTTTTTTTTTTATTTATTCACAACAATTATGTGAAAAAACATCTTCTGTTAAATGTTTTTATATTACTTAATTACTTTGGTATAGCATGAATGTCACAGAAGCTGTAATCTGTTAAAAATACTAAAAAGACAAAATGCATCACCCCCCCCCTCCCATTCCAGAGCCATGCAGTGCATGGCTGGATTGGAGTCTTTGCCTGGCCAATTCTGGCCCCAGACCCTTATATTTGACACCCCTGCTCTAAAGTGGATACAAGTTTAAAATTAAAAAGGAACAGTCTTATTTGGGGTTTTTTGGTTTTGTTTTTAATAAATCATTGAAAACTCTCTCTCCTCTCAGGGCCTGCAGCTCACAGCAGCTTCACGGCCCAAACGGGTGTCCCCCGCCCACACCATGGGAACCCCTGCTTCCTGCACTATTGTATTTTTCTTTTTTCTTTTTTTTTGTTATCACTGAGCAGTCTTTCCTAAAGATGTTACTTTCTTTTATCTCATCCCATCTCGGCATGTCTGTCCAATAGCTGTTAAAACATTTGTGAGTAACTCATTAATCAGCATTTACCGCTCCAGCGCCACATGAAAGCAGCACCTGCACATGCGCCATGTGTGCATTCCAATAAAACCTGGCAACAAGTACAAGATTTGTTCACCTCCAAGTTCCACACATCTGTCTGGAGCAAAGCACAGCCCGACAAAAGGCTGCTCCCATTCTGGCTGTACAGGCAGCACAGGTGTGTTGTTATTCCACAGGTGTTACTGTCTTACTGTGGGCGTGGAGACTTGGGAGCAGAAAGCAAGCGTTGGGAAACCGTCCCTGAGGAGCGGACCAAGGTGCTTCAGCTCCAGTGATTGTAAATAGAAATAAAAATGGAAATAGAAGCTAAAGAGGGGATATAAGAAGCGGAAACTGACAACGCATGACCTCCAGATTTAACAACGGCTTATGTGCGTCTAAATCAAACTGATATGAAGATGGTTAAATCTACTGTGCTTGGACCAAGTGTTAAACAAACACACACCCCTCTCCTCCTCCAGCCGGGAGGTCTGACCGGGTACACACCTCTTTTCGCCGGATCTTCTTGGCGAGCTGCGTCGCCGACATAAGCAGCAGCGGGTTTCTGACGGGCGGGAGCTTCTTCCCGGACAGAGCAGGTCTCCGAGGGGAGAAGAAGCGAAAAACGATGACGAGGACCCCTGTGACCGCCTTCAACAGCCATACCTGAACTCTTTCCAGCCGGCTCAGAGCCATGTTTCAAGCGCGTGAGAGGACGGAAGGTCAACGGTTGGTCGACCGCAGTCAGAACACTTCCTAGCTTACAGCAGCCGATTCTTTAATATACACCCGCGAGACAAGTTAGTGACAGTTAGGTCGCCACCGGAAATGAAGCTGTTGCTTTCAAAACAAAACCATGACCTCGTTTTAAAAGTTACTAAAGTGAGTTTTTGGAATTTACTCAGATTTCCATCTTATGCTGCTTAATACAGTATTCCACTACTTTCCAAACAGTGAAGAGAAAAATGCATAATATTTCCTTCTGCTTCAGTTAGTCCTTAGTAGTTACTTTCCTGGTTGATCAAATAAGTAGTTTATGTACCTCAAGTACGACTATTCAGTGGAGAGTTTTATTAGTCATTCACACTTATTTGGTGATACTTTTTTGTTAAAAAAAAACATTCATTTTTAATATATTGTTATAAAACGATATTACAAGTGTTTTCATTTTTTTTTTAAATTCTGCACAGATTATTGAATGTTATTGACTTTTCATCACTTGTACACTGTTATTTCAGTAGAACTGTGATGTAATTATTTAACTGATAGCTTTTTACTACTGACAGTTGTCTGCATATCAGTTTTTACTTCTATTAATAATTGTTTTTAAATTACCTTTTTTGTTAAACCATAATGGGATTATTAACTAACTAGGTTAACCAACTTTTCCAGGAGCTTTTAACTGTATCTCATAATCTGCATCAGCAAACAGCATTATTTTTACTGAGTGCATTACTATGCAAAAATGCATGAAGTGTGATAGGGTCAGAGTACTTTGAATCAGTTGTGTGGCGGAGACGTTTTATTTTGAAAATTATTACCGGAACATAAAACAATATATTGTGGTTTACCTGTCAGTAACCTATGCCACCATTCAGGGTAATTAAAGGTAACGTTTAACTAGGAGTGTAATGTAAATGTGGTTGCGTAAATTACTTGGTTGTGGCTGTTAAACTAGTGCCTGCAAAACATAGATAGCCTTCCATTCGATGTTTGCTGCCCAGTATCACTTGTTTATATGAGTTATAAGAAAATAACTTGGATTTTGTGAACAAAGTTTCTGATAAAGTATAGATACAGTATGATATCTATACTTAACAAGATGAAGATACAGTATACCAAGTACACTGTATCTTGAACTGTTCTCCATTAGTATTTAGTATCAGTACTGGAAAGGTATCAAATTTCAGGCCAATAAGATGTTTGAGTTAGTATCCAGTATGATTTGAAGGTGGGGCATCCTTTTCTGTTTGTCCTTGTAATCATATTTAGAATGACATAAACTGTAAATCTAAAAGACGTAGAGGCAGGTTTATGAAGTTATTTTAAATTTTGCATGCTCAGGAATCCAGTTTTTGTTTTTGTTGGCTCACGACAATGTTTGGCGATAAGGGCTACTTTTGAGGGCAACTTTGATAACAGTGTGTTTGTATGTAATGATATGTTATTTCATGTATTTGTGCATATTACGTGTGCCAAAGTCAGAGATTAAAAGTGAGACAGTGGGATATTTTTTGTAGTATTTCAGCATTTAGTTAGCCCTACAGAAACCAAACCAGCATTAAGGGAGTGACGTTGTTTTTAAGTAGCAGGTAATTTCAAATGCAGCGTTTCTATCAGTTCAGCAAACATCAGCAAACACATAAACAGTTTGTGCGCAGTTTGTCTCACAGTGTGTTGCTAACTAAAGGTCCGGTTGCTGTATTTAACAGGGAGAGAAAAGCAAGAGAGCCAACTTCACTCGGAGATGGAGAAAGATAAGAAAGACAGGGCAGGACAGGAGAGGACAACGAGAGGTTAGATTTAAAAGTAAGGAGTGCTCATTTAAAACTTACATGTAAGTCTTCATGTTTTAAATCAGATATTGGGTCTGTTCAGGCGACATTATGTTTTCTCATATTGTGAAAAATGCTGCAGAACAAACCAAGGTGTTATTTAAAGGCTGCATGAAAACCATCTGCAGGTTAGTGCAGGATAAACAGGTTAGTTTGCTGCACAGTGATGGATTTAAAGTAAAGAACAGTGTGTGACTGGTACACAGTGGCTGTGGTTTCATGGTCAGAGTTAGGTTACATCAAGTGTAGCAGAGCTCCATATGAATTTTAGCCGATGATGCTGAGATTCATTCACCAAATTCCACTTTCATATCAACTTTATACCTTCTAGAAAAAAAGAATTAAACCGTATAGCATCAGTGTAGAGGAGGGTGAAGTGTAGAGGATGGAAATCAGCCAGGACAACTCCTGAAACATCTGCTGACATCTGGTTGAATTAACTTGTGTAAATCCACAAAGTGCAGCAGGTCAGCTGATCACAGCCTGTACACTGAGAAAATCTACTGGAGCTTTCAATGGAAATTATTGTGAGTTATGATTCTTTTCCCCACATTACAACAAATTTTAAGGTTCCCCCACCACCCCAGAAACAACAACAAAAAAACCCCATGAAGTTAAGCAACCATCAGTCAGCAGCAGAGGGCAGCATTGTTAAACATAACGAAACCTCTTGGCTTAGCAATTGAACATGCAGAGCACATACCAGCAAGAAAAAAAAATCCTTCTGCAATGCAGGTCAGTGGGTTAGTGGAGAATCCACAGAGTCTGTTTGAGTTTGTGTCTCACTGCACCACCGAAACTGTTGAAGAGCCTCGTGTGAAGCTTTGTTTGGATTCAGCTCCACACAGACGTCTTTTATTTTGCTTCATTTCACTGTTTTGCATTCAAAATAATCAAAAGAAAGGATAAAATTAATGATGATATGCTTCATTTCAAATGTCTGTAATCTGACTCCACCGCCTCCTTCTACATTACTTCAGGCAAACCACTCTGATTATGTTTCATACATGCAGGCTGAAAATATTTCTAAAAATCTGGTAGATTTATTGAACAAATTCATATGTTTAGAGATTTAGCAGGGCCACGCCTGACAGGGACTAAAAAGAGAGAGCATATTTCTCCTGTATTGGCTTCCCTTCACCGGCTCCCTGTTAAATCCAGAATTAAAATTAATATCCTGCTCCTCACAGACAAGGTCTTGAATAATTAGGCTTAAAACGTTAGTTTTTGATAAAGCATGTAGTTAGGGTTATATCAGGTAACTTGTGGAGGCTTTCCATGATGCACTTCCTAGTCACTCACTTTTTTACACACCTCTCTGTCTCTTTTGTCCTGTCTCCCTCCCCTCACCCCCAACCAGTGGCAATATAATCTTCTTCCTGAGCCTGGTTCTGCTGGAGGTTTCTTCTTATTAAAAAGGAGTTTTTCTTTCCCGCTGTTGCCAAGTGCATCCTCAAAGGGGGTTGTCTGATTGTTGGGGTTTTCTCAGTATTATTGTAGGGCCTACCTTACAATATAAAGCTCCTTGAGGCGACTGTCATTGTGATTTGGCACACAAATGCCACATTAATGCATAAGAACCAGATTGTACTTTTACTGATGCGTCCATATTGATAACCTTTTTATTTAAGATTTTTTTTTACATTTTTTTTGCAATTTGACATTACTGACATATGTGGAATGAACAACAAACCCCCCTAAATGCACAGCCATGCATCCATCTGCTTATCCGTTTAGGGTCGTGGGAGGCTGGAGTCTGTCCCAGCTGTCACAGGGCGAAGCAGGGTACACCCTGGATAGATTGCCAGCCTGTCACAGGTTAACATGCACATATTTGATTACATTTTTTAAATATTTTAATTCACGGTGATCCTAGCACTGAATAGATCACCTTTGCAACATACATCATATTTCTATTTAAAGATAAACCATAACAGCACCAAATCTTTATGTTAGTTTGTGTGTTTTTTATGTGAATTAAAAGCCTGATTTGTGCATCTGCAGTGTGAGGTGTGTGCAGGTATCATTACGGTGAAAAACATCATATTGGGGTTTGACCCTGTGCATAAAAGGAGTATGTAATCAATCATGTCCACACAATAGGTGCACCACCCTGCTGAGCTATTTATTGATCCTCTTCCATCAGGACAGACCTCCATGGTCATTTGTAAGGAGCTGAGTTCACTATAACTTCTGTTTGCATGATTTGCGTGCTTTAAAACTCTGGAGCTTTTTTGCGTGCAGACTTTGACCTACAGCCAGTTAACCCACATTATAGCTGAGACCCAGTGTGTCACCTTCAGCGAATAAGCAATACTTTCTTTCGGCAGGATGACGTGACGGTCACAGAATAAAGGCATAAATGTTCCTTGACGGGTACACCCAGTCTAAAAAAAACAAAACATAAACGTATCACAATACCAACCGAGTGGAGAAAAACAGACAACCTGATCACCTGTAAGGTGACACCTGAGGCCCAGACACAACTGCTGGGCATGTAGAGACAAGAAGGGAAAACCAGGGGAAACACACAACTGACGGCGCTAATGTCTCTGTGTAAAGCTGCAGGAAAAATGTGGCCCGCAAAGCAATTATAGCTGCATTTAAAGTGTGTATAATTTTCCGGTTGCAGGGAGTGTAGCTTGCGGTCTGCTGTGTTTTAGGAAAAACCTTAAAGGCTTTGTTAATGCACGCCTTCGGGGTAAAATGATATGGGGTCAGTGAACAACACAAGGAAGCCTTTGGGTGCTTTTCCATCTTCTTTCCTGTGTCTGCCGACATGAGATATCCACCAAATGCACTCTAGCTGCGGCTCATTACTGTGACTCTCACAGTTTACACACAATGGAAACAACTCAAGCAGCGCCACCTATTACAGCATCCAACCGACAGACGCCAGCTGATAATGTTAAAGCCTCTGCTTCCGGATAAATCAGACAAAGCATCGCCCAGACGTTTAATTTTTCTAATGAGATCACAGACGTCAAATCCAGTCATCCTTCACCGGACAGTAATTTACTTTACAGTTTGTTTTGAAAGGAGCACTTTGCTCTCATCCACTTTCCAGCACCTCCACTCAGCCCTGGAGACCAATGCAAGCTGATCTGGCTGTCCCTCGGGGTGCCAGAGCAGAGTGTCTGCAACTGTTGTGCCTCTAATGGACAATTTTCATTATTAAAATGACAAGTATTTAAAAGGTTCCCCCACATTCCTCTGCGCAGGGTCGGAAAATCTTCTGGA